AGGATATGCCCCATCCATTGGAATCAAGGATGCAATATAATTTGTGGGTCCAATTGGCTAAACTAACCAACACAACCGATTTTTGCCTTTCTGAAGCATATGACATGGAAAATTTGCTGTCCACATGTTTAATACCAGTGTGTGTTCCTGTTGCAGCAGCTAAGGAATTCAGTCAACATGGGTTTAAAGAACACATAGGTTATGAAACAATGTACAACTGGGGACACATTTCCAAGTTTTTACCAACTGATGCTCTAGCTTTACATACTCCTAACGTAGCCATTCCAGAAGACTTACAATGTGCACATATCACAGGGTGCGAGCAGAATACACCTTCACCTCAGTGCCTGAAAGTAAGCCAAGAGAAGCTAAATTGCACATCTTTCCAAACAGTGTCTTTTGGATATGCAAACATGGTTACCTAAAGGGTGGTTCTTCACTTGTGGGAAAGACACTTTCAATTATATTCCTGCCAACATAAGCACATCATATTGTTGTTTAAGCAGACTAACTACCTTTTTACCAGATAGATCACTTTTCACCTCCCCTAACACCACACGGTACAAAAGAGCCGAGGTACTAACAGAGGATTGTGAGTCATCTCGCACTCTTCTAAATGCGGCAGAATACAATGCGTTGGCAGTCTCATTAGTGGGAGTTCCTGCACTTGCTCTGAGGGCCCATGTCAATATAAATTTTGTGGCCTGCAACTTGGCTAAAACTATAAATGCCACTTCAATAGCCTTGTCTGCCATCAATCAGGAGATGATAGAATTACGCAAGGCTATTTTGCAAAATAGGGCAGCCATCGACTATCTTTTACTTCGCCAACATATGGGATGTGAGGCCTTTGAGGGAATGTGTTGTTTTAATCTCTCAGATCAATCCCCCGTCATAAATAAACAAATTAAGGTACTCCATAAAATAGCCTCAGAGCTACAAATAGATTCCCTGGGAAATTGGTGGAGTAACTTATGGTCGTGGCTCCCAATAGGCCTTATTGGAAACATCATAAGAGCAGTAATCCTTTTTATTGCTATTCTGATCAGTAGCTGTTGTCTTCTGCAATGTACCTTTTCAATGATGCATAACATAACACTACCTAAACGAGTGTCCCTGCTTGCAGAGAGAAAAGCTACGGCTCAGGTTATGGCTATGTGGGAATTCCAGAGACAAGAATATAACAACATACATACATCAGACCCCAGTGTTACGGAATGAAACTTATCTGCATAGATGAGATAAGTCTCATCGGGGGGAATAAAGTGGCACCTGGGAAAACACTAATGATCCGACAAAGAATGTGGGTAAAAGCAGATGGCCCACCAAAGAATGTGTGTGAAAGGGAGGTTTGTTTTTGCTTACTAGACAGCTCTTAAATTTAGGATGGCCAGACATCCTGTTCCCAGCTCTGCACATGATATATTACTAACTGCCTATCACATGGTGTGACTAAACTGCTTATCACTTGATATATTGCTGATTACTAAAAACATTCCGTTGTAAAAGAGGAACTATCGATTATAGATCTGTCTAGTAGTTTTCCTATGTTAGGACCTATAGAATGTAACCATGTGTGGGATGTAACCTACTCAGGAAATAACCCTGCCTGAAGGGTTATAAAAATGGTCACCAATGCACAGTCTGTTGTTCAGATTTCTTTAGCCATGATGGCTCTCTGAACCTGCGCAATAAACTTCCCTTTCCTTGAAAGAGCTGACTCAAGTCTTTCATTTTCTACAACAGATTGGCTATCTTCTTTAGCTTGGAACTTTGCATATGAGAATTCATAATATGTTCCACAGTCAGAACTGGCAATATCTTTGATGCTTCAATTGGACTCTTCCACCTTCTTTTAACAATAGATAATATTATTGCTATATATTTCATATCTATATCTCATGTGTATGTATGTGTGTGTGCGTATATAAGTTCCAAAATTAAGAACACATTGAAAAACATAATTAGCTGGGTGCCAAGGTTCTGACTGACGAACCCAATGAAGTAAGCATAGCTGAGACAATCCAATCTCTCATGCAAAATTTTATTGAGCAAATCATATTGGCACAGATGAAAGGAAAACCAGCTCTGGGTAATTGGCACCAAAGCAGTATATTAAAAGTATAGAAACTCCCTTATTAATAGTTTAATATGGTTGAATTTATATTAGTTTTAGTATTATAGTTTAATTATATTATTATTTTCATTTTTAATTTGTTAATATTTATCTTGAAAAGGAGTTAAAGTATGTTATGGATTTGATTGTTAGTATAGTTGGGTAATGTTAGTTAAATTATGATTGTTTATTTGTAACCCTGTAATCAGCTCTGGGAAGTGGGGGAGGGGAGGGAGGGATTTGGGATATATATTGTATAAAATTTTTAAAACTTTTAATAAAAAAAAGTATAGAAACTCCCTTCTCCCCTGACAGTGCAGGTCATATTATCCAATTAAGCTTCAAATAATTATAAAAAATCTTCAGTTCTCAGTAAACAATATCTTGCTTGACCTTGGTTCTCAGGCTCAGCAGCTCAACACCTACAAGGCCCATTCCATTCCCCCTCCTCCCCCTCGGGTCTGTAGGCAAGACAAGAAACAGAAATGGCTGAAACAGCATAAGCTTTTTTGAGCTTAACAGGCTGGCTCCCCTAAAAGTTGGAAAAAAACTGGAAAACAATAAGTACACGTTACTTCATGTCATCTCTTGCGACAGCCCTGGCTTTTGGGGATACTTATTATGTAACTTCTCTATTAAGTGATCTTCCTTTACCTTATGGGTTTTTGTCCATCTAGTCTCTGAGATTAGGTAATCTTTCCACTGGATTAGGTACTATAATTTCCCTTTGTAGATTCTAGAGTCTAGGACCTGTTTAACTTCATAGTGTGGCTACCCCCCCCTCCACCATTATTGGCCCCAGGGCTTCTTTCTCAACTGGTCTCATCCTAGAACCCTGGAACAGTTTCAGCAAGCTATAATGGAACACTGGGTGCACTTTGCCTAATATCCTGGGTAGCTTTAACTGTACCTTGACCAGGTTGATGAGTTTTACAATCGGGAAAGGCCCTATGAACTTTGGATCCAGTTTCTTCAAGATTGTCTCACTTTTCGATACTTTGTTGACAGATACATTTTATTTCCCACACGAACATCCCTTGGGAAGCTTGCTTCTTGTCTGCCTGTTTCTTTTGGTTCTCTGTCACCTTGTCTAGGACTTTCTTTACATTGCTCCAGACACTCTGGAACAAGTCTTACCCATTAGGCTAAAGTCCTTGAGAATGGGGGCTTCTGAGGGTATTCTGGCATGGGCTCAAACTCCAACCCTTTGGCTACTTTGAAGGGGGTGGAACCTGTGCTACTGTGTACTGTATTATTATAAGCCACCTCAGGAAATGGCAAGAGTTCTGCCCAGTTAGATTGCTGGTAATTTACATAACAATGCAGGTACTGTTCCAACATTGCATTCAGTGGCCCCATTCATACTTTGATGGAACACCAAATTAAGACCTTGAGAGGACCCGTTCATTTTGATAAAGTTATGCCAAAATTTTGCCGTTAATTGGAGCTGAAATGATATGCTTGGGCACTCCATGTAGCATATTACAGGAACATCTTGGCCAATCTCTGGGCTGGTGAGAGGCCAGGACATGCGACGAAGTGGGCTTGCTTGGAAAACAGGTCCACAACAGTCCAGATCACGGTGTTTTCCCCACTCTCAGGCAATTCAACTACAAAGTCCATAGCTATCTCTTCCCAGGGCCAGGTCAGGTCAGCAACTTGCTGCAGCAGTCCTGGATCTTGCCTTGGATTCTCTTACTAGCTGCACACACATCACAACTTTTTACATAGCTCTCAATGTCCTTTTTTATCTTTGGTGGTTGGCCAGGTGCAAAGTCTTGAGGAATCCAAAATGGCCAGCTTTCTTGGAGTTGTGGCTCTGCTGCAGGATCTTTACTGGCAAGCTGTTAGGGTCATACAATTTGTCCCCCTTCCACACCACTCTCTCTCTTTCTCATGGTTAGTTCCCCTTGATGGGCTCTGAACCACACGTCAGATTGTAGTTCTTGCTTCAGTTGCTGTGTGAAAGCATTTGTAGGGGATGGTCTTTTCTTTTGGGCTTGTGTCTCATGGTGGCTTGCGGAATCCTCTTGGTTGCTCTTGTATCAGCCAGGAAGTTCTTCCCCCCGGGATGTACTTTAGTTCAATGTTGAACTGGTTAAAGTATTAGGCCCACCAGATCTGCTTGGGGGAGAGTTTGCAGGTGTCCTCAATGCTTCTAGGTTCTTCTGATCAGTCCACACTTCAAACAGGATTTTGCTTCCTTTCAGAAATTGCCTCCAAGTTAACAGTGGCCATTGTACTGCAAAGGCTTCCTTCTCCCACACTGCCCATTGGTCTTTTGGTTTCATTTAACTTTTGGGTCATGTATGTGCACAGTTGCAGTTTCCCCTCCTTGCATCTTTTTAAGGACGACTTCCCATAATGCCACATTGCTGGCACCTGCTTGGATCACAAATAGCTCTTCAGGATTAGGATGTTTTAAGACAGGCTCAGCTGCAAACAGTCTCTTGAGCTTTTCAAATGCCACTCGACATGAGGAGTTGCTCTGGGCAGTGCCTTAATCTTCCTGCGATCCTCCAGAACTCTCAGGTGTATTCTGTCACTGGCTGGCTCCTTTGCCTCATGTTGCAGACGTTGGCCACCACTCATTGGGTCTGCATGGTTGCCAAACTAGACCCTGAGTTCTCCGAAAAAAGCATCAGGTTCCCCCAACTCAGGAAGTCCTTTGTCATGGAGGACGGTCACCCACTCCGCAGCTTCTCCCTCAAGGTTCACCATGATTGTGTCCACGTGGGCCTTGTCATTGGCATACATCGCCCCATGCTGGTCCAGGTGTGACCACACCTGATTCAGGGGAAAATGTCAACTTCTCCCAACTTTGATCAGTGGGAGTTGTTGCAATCTCAGGGTGCCCCAATATCCCAGCGGCCATCTCATCATGTAGGGAACATCCATGGAAGAGCACTAAACATTTGTGGCTGTAGTTGACTCACTACCCCAGGCTGCAGATTGAGGGCCAGCGGCCCCGAGTCTCAGAGTTGAGACAAATTGCGAGGGAGTGATTGGCTGGGGACTGGTTGCTCTTGGCCCAGGTTGAAGTGAGAGGCTCAATGTGGCCACCGCAAACTGACCAGATCCCATTCAGGCGGTTAGGTCCAGCCTTCGGGTCGGCTTTCCTCTCGCTCTCCAAGCCACTGAATCTCTCCCTCAGATGCTCTACTGACTGACTGTTGAACATCGTCAGGCATCTCTGCTCCACCAGTCCTTCCCATTCTGAGACCCTCCTCTCTCTCCATCTGTAGGTTTGGGCAAACTCAGGTCTCAAATAGGCCAGTGGGAACTCGGCTTTGGCCACTTTCAACACACTTTCTCACCACCCCCCCACTCCTGGTGAACAGATGACTCCCATCAACCCAGTCCACTCCAGTGTTACCGGTGATGCCAACTAAACAATTTTTACTCTCGGGCAAGTTGCTGCCAGTTGGGCACCGGAGTCACCTTGGGTTCCAACTGGAGCTCCATTAGTCACCTCCTCCTTGGCTTTAGTGGTTGCTCTCCCTTCTGCTCCATTTCAGGAAGCTTCCCCTGAGTTTTTGCAACCCCTCCGAATTAGCCAGGTGGGATGCAGGAGCTCAGACTCCTCAATTGATTTTAGTTTTAAATGAGAGCAAGTTTAGTGTCAAGGTTCCAATTGACAAACCCAATGAAGTAAGCATAGCTGAGACGATCTGATCTCTCATGCAAAACTTTATTGAACAAATCATATCAGCACAGATGAAAGGAAAATCAGCTCTGGCTAATTGGTACCAAAGCAATATATTAAAAGTATAGAACTCCCTTCCCCCCTGACGGTGCAGGTCACATTACCCAATTAAGCTTCAGACAATTATTACGAGAAAAATCTTCAGTTCTCAGTAAATAATATCTTGCTTGACCTTGGTTCGCAGACTCAGCAGCTCAAAACCTGCAAGGCCCATTCCATTCTTCCCCCCTCCTTCCTAAGTCTGTAGGCAAGGCAAGAAACAGAAATGGCTAAAACACCATGAGGCTTCTTTGAGCTTGACACTGGGTTAGTTATTTTAGTATTTGAATTGCCTCTAAAATTTGCAACACTTCTATTTTTGAATTCATTCTGAAAAATATTTGAATAATGTTTTTATTCACATAATAATACTCTTTATGTATCAATATATTGTAGGAAGAGCTACAAGAAGCACTTCTTGCTCGGGCAATAAAGCAGCAGACTGAAGAATATTCAGAAGACTTTGAAAGTGATGCATGTATGTTGAGGAAGACTTAACTGTTGTACTCTGTGGATTTCATTTTGAGTACAGTTTGAATATATATTTTTAATAGATATAGCTGGTGTTCATTGAGGGGCAGAGGTGTTGCATTGTTTGGTACTCTTTCCATTCCTGTTTAACATCTACATGAAACTGCTCAGTGAGGTCACCCATAGCTGTGGCATGAGCTATCACCAGTATGCTGATGATAGAGCCAGCTACATAGTGAAGTAAGCAATGCTTCCAATATCCTGTTTTAGTGCCTGGAGGTTAAATAGGTCTGGATGGGGAGCAACAGGTTTCAGCTCAACCCTGTCAAGACAAACTGGCTTTGGGTTTTAGGATCAGCTGAATTTAGGAATTTATCACCTTTGGTTTTGGATTACATTTCTCCAGACCAACCCACTGCACAATCTGAGAGTCCTTCTAGATTTAAGATTTCTGCTCAAAGAGCAGCTTTGAATTGTATGCAGGTTGTGCCCATTCCTGAATCAGGAGGCTCTGTGTTTAATCACACATCCTGGTCATCTCCTGTATGGATTACTGTAATGCACTCTACATGGGGCTGACTTTGTGGCTGTACGCAGAAATTTCAGTTGCTGCAAAATGAAGCATTACAAGCAGTTATGTGCATACCTAGATTGTCTATAAAGCCTTACATAGCATGGGTCCAGATTATTTGAGGGACTGCCTTTCCACAGTGACATCTATCTATCCCATCAAGTCTAGCAGAAGAAGCTTGATACAGGTTTTGTCCACTAGAGAGTATTATGTGGTAGATCCAGCAATAGGATTGTGATCTCCTGGTGACTGTGCTGTATGGTTTTTAATTGTGTTTAACATTTGTGTTGGTTGCTTCTTAAAAATGTTTTAATATATTCTTTATGTTTTAATTTTAAGCTACACACAGTCATGAATATAAGATAGGTGGCTATATAAAGTGAATGAATGAATGATTGAATGTGATATCATTAATACTGTTTTTATATGGAACTATAATAAGATGTACAATTTATGTTACCAGTAATTGATTCACAGATAAAATTATGCTTTGAATTGCAACATACCATATTTTGACAATTGTTCCACATTATTTATTTATCACTTTGGAGAGGCAATGTGTTGATTTATGCTTGGCACCAGAAAGTATGAGAAATGTGTTAAGTACACATTGCAGTCAAAATCATTCTTTCACTTTGCATCTGTTACTCTTTCTTTTATACATGAAATGTTAATTTTTTCCAGTCTCAGAAGAGGAATTTCCTGAATCTGAGGAAAACATCTGTCCTAAATCAGCAGTCTTTAAAGTATCATCATCTAAGTTTAATCTTTGTAACAAGAACACTTTAAAAAGCGAAAGTGCCGATGACTTGTCTTCATTAGAGGAATATGAGGGATCTCAATATGTCTCTATTCTGGAGAGAAAGGTTTTGAGCAAAGAGGGGCAAACCATCCCCTTATCACTAACTGAACATCCTGGATCATGTAAAAGGAGTGCAGCAAAACAATCCATTCCATTTGAAATATCTGTGTCAAATCACTATTCTTTTGGAAAAGAAATATCAGAAAATAAACATTTGATCAAAGACACCAAAGATGATACAATTATTGAAGAAAGGTCTGGTTGTGAAGAAGATTACAATAATATAGAGGAAACAATTAGATATAAGTTGATATTAGAGGAAAAAAATATGATTCAGTGTAAAATGGAAAGCAAGCCAGTGCCAGAGCCAAGGGAGTTCAAGACTAAGGCTGTATCAGCATCAGGTAAAGGAAATGTATTTAAATGTTATTGCTTAAATTGTGCAATTTCCAGATTGCTAAAATTATTTTAAAACAAAATAATTGGATAAACTGTTTTTATCTATATAAAGAAAGTTTTAATTCTTTGAATATGTATATTTGACACAGAGAAAATCATTGTCTTTCTATTAGACAAAATAAGTTATATTTAATTTATTTACAAATTAAAGCATTGCCATTTTGCCATGTGATATAATGTAGGATTGCTTATAGTTCAAAGTTACAACAGCACTGAAAAAAGTAACTTATGACCATTTTTCATACTTAAGACCATTGCAGCATCCCCCATGGTCACATGAACAAAATTCAGACACTTGGAAACTGACTCATTGACGGTTGCAGTATTCTGGAGTCATGTAATCACCTTTTGTAACCTTCTGACAAGCAAAGTCAATGAGGAAGTCAGTTTCATTTAACTGTGTTACTAACTTCACAACTGTAGGGATTCACTTAACTGTGGCAAGCAAGATCATAAAATGAGGCAAATTCACTTAACAAATATTTAATTTAGCAACAGAAATTTTGGGTCAGTTGTAAACCTAAATCGAGGATTACCTGTATTTAGTTGCCAGGCATTGCTTTTTGAATTCAACATTGCACCATTCTGAATAAATGTAACTGAATCCTAGTGCAAATATTACAAAGAATAACTGTTCTACAAAGCAAATGAGCTCTCATTTCCAATCAAAACTTGAATAGAATAGAGCTGGAAGGGACCTTGGAGGTCTTTTAGTCCAGCCCCCTGCTCAAGCAGGAGAACCTATGCCATCTCAGACAAGTGACTACTCTTGTTGTTGTTGTTGTTAATTGCGAAGTCATGTCCAATCCATCGCAACCCCATGGACAACGTTCCTCCAGGTCTTCCTGTCCTCTACCATCTTCTGGAGTCCATTTAAGTTCACACCTACTGCTTCAGTGACTCCATCCAGCCATCTCATTCTCTGTCGTCCCCTTCTTCTATTGCCCTCAATCTTTTTTCTTAAAAATCTCCAGTGATGGAGCGCCCATGATTTCTGAAGGTAAGCTGTTCCACTGGTTAATTGTCCTCACTGTCAGGAAGTTTCTCCTTAATTCCAATGTGGGAGATGAAAATATAGTCTGCCAACTCTGTAGGTTTAATAAGGCCTGGATAATCTAAGGGAGACCCCACATAAAAGATTTGAGCCAAACTCTCTAACTGGTATGGTTTCATAATATAAAAGAACTATTTGTAATCTGCTGAGCTATTGCAATTTGTGTAATATGATTATATTTGGAACAAGAACATAGTAACCGTGGGAAATAGGGAACTGAAAGTAGTAGATGGATGGAGGTTTCAGATGTACACGGGTGTATGTAGAAATTAATGGTCAGCAAGAAAGAACAAGGAACTGATTTCATAAATGTTGCAAGATAATGTCCATTTGTGGGTGGCCGTTAGGAAAAGGGTATAAAAGATAGAGCTCAAGATCAGCTCATGGCCACTGGCCTATACTGTCCTTGCTGGACCTGCTATGTCATTGGACCTCATTGCAATGGGTTACTAATGTAAGTGATGTTGTGTTATTATGTTTGCTATGTTCCAAATTATTAGCAAAATAAACCTCTGAATCTTAAAGTAAGAATTATTGTCTTGTGTTGCTGTCTTGTGTTTCTTTCATTGGGTTTTTCCACAACACCAGGTTGCTTCTCTCTTTGATCAGTTTCCAACCATTGTTTCTTGTCCTGCCCTCTGGTGCTTTGGTGAATAATGTGACCCCCCCTCTTCTTGGTGGCAGCCCCTCAAATATTGGAATACTGCTATCATGTCACCCCTTTTTCTTCTTTTCTTTAGACTAGCCAAACTCAAGTCCTGTAGCTGTTCTTTGTATGTTTTAGTCTTCAGGCCTTTGATCATCTTAGTTACTCTTCTCTGAAATTTTTCCAAACTCTCAACATCTTTTTTCTAATGTGGTGACCAAAATTGGTTGCAGTATTCCAGGTGTGGTCATACTAGGGTTTTATAAAGTGGTACTAATACTTCACTGATGTTGATTCTATGCCTCTGTTTATACAACCCAGGATTATATTAGCTTTTTTGGCTGCTGCTGTACATTGCTGGTTCATAGACAAGTGATAGTCTACTAGGACTCCAAGGTCCCTCTCACAGTTGATGTTTTTGAGCCAGGTCTTACCTAATATGTATCTGTACCTTTGTTTTTTCCTGCCTAAATGTAAAACTTTGCTTTTCTCCACACTGAAACTCATTTTGTTGGATAGGGCCCATTGTTCAAGTTTGTCAAGATCTTTTTGGATCCTGAGTTTGTCTTCTGGGGTGTTGGCTACTCCTGCCAGTTTGGTGTGATCTTCAAATTTGATGAGTTCCCCTTCAATTCCCTCATCTAAGTCACTGATGAAGAGTACTTGGCCTAAGACGGAGCCTTGTGGTACCCCACTGCTTACTTCTCTCCATGTGGATGTGGTGCCATTGAGGACTACTCATTGAGTATGGTTTGCCAGCCAGCTACAGATCCATGTGGTGGTGATGTTGTCTGTTCCACCTTTTTCTAGATTACCAAGGAGTAGGTTGTGGTCTACTTTATCAAATGCCTTACTGAAGTCAACATATACTACGCCCACAGTATTTCGCAGGTCTGCTAGTTTGGTCACTTTATCAAAAAATGAGATAAGATTGGTTTGGCTTGATTTGTTTTTAACAAACCTGTGCTGGCTGCTAGTTATGACTTTTTTGCTTCTAGTTGTTCGCAGATTTGTTTTTTGATTATCTTTTCTAGTATTTTCCCAGGTATTGATGTTAAACTGATTGGTCTGTAGTTTCCTGGGTCTGTTTTTTTTCCCTTTCTTGAAGATGGGAACCACATCAGCCCTTTTCCAATCCTCAGGTACTTCCCTGGTACTTCAGGATTTATGAAAGAAGTGGTGCAATGGTTTTGAGATAACATCTGCCAGATCCTTCAGAACTCTGGGATGTAATCTGTCGGGTCCCAGTGATTTATATTCGTCAAGGTCGGATAGGTGTTTTCTTACCATTTTCTTGCTTATTTTAATTTTTGTTTCTAATTTGTCTTTTGCCATGGTTTTTTTGGTATGTTGGGCTGTAGTTTCTTTTTGTGTGAAGACTGATGCAAAGAATGAGTTAAGCAGCTCTGCTTTCTCCCTGTTGCCTGTTATTTCCTTGCTATCTTCTCTCTTTAGTGGACCTATAGTTTCCTCAACTTTTTTCTTGTTATTAATATGTTGGAAGAAACTTTTTTTTTATTATCCTTGATTTCTGTTGCAAGTCTTTGTTCGTTCTGAGCCTTTGCTTTCCTGACTTCATTTTTGCATGTTCTGTCTGTCTTCTGATAATTGGCCTTAGTTATGTGCCCCTCTTTCCACTTTTTGTATTTGTCCTTTTTATCTTTCAGTTTGTCAGAGAGATCTTTGTGCAGCCATGCTGGTTTCTTTTTAAATTTCTTGTTTTTCTTTTTCAGTAGTATTGTGCTGGACTGGGCTTTTATGATCACATTTTTTAGAGTTTCCCATGCTTCTTGGGTTATTTTCCCCTTTGGGATTTTCATCCATGGAATCTTTCCTAGGTTCTCACTGAGTTTGTTAAAATCAGCTCTTTTGAAGTTTAAGACACTGGTTGGATTGTTTTCTGTTGCTAGTGTTTGCATTATATTGAATTTCAGAATGACGTTATTTTCACCCAAGGTTCCGGCAACTTCAACTCCCTCTATCACTTCTTCTATATTAGTGAGAATTAAATCCAGTAAAGCTTTACATCTGAATCAAATGTTGATATATATCTTTTTTTAAACAGATTTTATTGATTTTTTTAATTTTTAAAACAACGTGCTTGAGACACACCGTGGTACAGGGGTAGTCAAGAATCCAAAAACAAAACATATATAGATAACTTAATCAATACATCAAACATTCCCTCTCTCTTTCCCTCAAATAGCTTATATATTTAAAATAGTCTGTTTCTAACTTAAGTTTCTAATAATCCTAAACCTGTTTTACAGCTTTATACAATTATGAGACCATAATCAAATTTAACTTTAAATAAGCACATTATCAATTCAGGTCCCTTCCAAATCTCTCCTAATTCTTTAATTTCATCATAAATCTTATTTATTTCTCCTTCCACTACTATCTCCCAGTTAAAATAAAATATTAATCTATCCAATACATATCTAATCCATCAATCAGTTTCTTAAGCTAACACAATAATATCAACCTTAAATCATTTAAGTCCATTAGACAAGGTTCTAATTTCATCCAATTAATTATCAGACCTAATAACATCGCTATTATCAGATAAAAGATGTCATCTTATTAAAATAATATTCAATTCATTATTAGTTCAATCCCAATCTAGAACACCTCTTCAATTTTCTTCATTCCATTGTATAATAACTTTCATAGATATAAACCTATTATTCCAAAACATACATTCTTACTTTATTTAATATATATATTCTAATAATCACCCACTTTTCTTACTTCTAACACAAAAGCTTAATCCTTAGATAATCCATAATTCTAAAATGCCTTAAATCCAGTATATATAATTTTAGGTTTCTATTTTCAGTCTTATTTTGGGCTTCTTTTTCTGATAAACAGGTTTTCACAACAATGCTTCCCTTCCAACCGATGAGTCTCTCTTTGTTATTTGTGATGCCATTTGAGGCAGTAATAAGCCTCCTATCATCTGCATTGAACCTCTATTTCTCTTATTCTTGATGTCTTGGTGCTTTAAAGATTCAAATCTCAGTCTTTGCTTTTTGTGATCCTCAAAAATATAGATAAGAAGCTTGTAAGGTGAAATAAATTCCTCTGTATTCTCCATAAAGTCATCTTTTAGTGTATTTTGATTTGTAGAACAGTCCGATGTAGTCAGAAAATCACTTTTAGGATTCAAAGAGGAACTTCTGGTTCTTAGTTCTATAATCTCTTTCATTGTAACAAATTCCTCTTTAGTCTCCCTTAATTCCTCTTTTGGTAGATTTTGGTTTGTAGAATAAACAGGTGTGGTCTGAAAGTCAGTTTGAGAGTTTGGGGTAAAATTGGCTCTTCGTTCTGTAATAATCCCTTTCCTTATAGCACTTATTTCTTCAGTAACCTCGTAAATCTTTTCCAATATAAGCTTGCAATTTAAGTGAGAGTGAAGTTTCTCCATTCTTTTTCAGGAATAGTTTGAGGGTCAGCTCCTTCTCTCACAGTTGCAATATTAATTTTTCACCACTAGATGTCCTCAGTAAGTAAAAAAACCTTTTCCAGACACCATTTCCCCCCCTTTTTTGTATCTTTTAAAGGAAAGAGTGGAAAAAGAAATAATCTTCCAATATTAGCTACCAACACAATTCCAAAAAGCGTTTTTTTTCTGTATCCCAATATTAATAAAAATAAAATGTAGTCTTTAAAGATTCTTTGTTCTTAGCACCTTTCTTCCCACACAACCAGAAGCTGCTTAATCCAAATGGGGAAATAATTTCAACCAAGTTTTTACAGGCAGTAAAAAAGCCAACATAGAGAAAGGAGAGGGGCAAAAAGGGTCTCACCCAGATCTTCCATGGTGGATCTAATTACGCTTAGCTGTAATTGTGACTTCGGCTGGTGCAGCAGAATAATTGGCCATCTTGCAGGATGATCGTTGCTCCGTTGGCCCTAAGAAAATAGCTGGAGCCACGGGAGAAGCTGCCGCTCTCCCGTAGTCACCAGCAACCCTCCTTCTCAGTGGTCGCCCCTCCAGGGTGGCTTTTGACCCACTAAGGGGTCTACCAACGCAGAAAACCCGGCCGGACTGGAGAAGAGTCCCCAGACACGACCGGCGTCACCGCGTACCGGAACCAGAAGTCAAATGTTGATATATATATCAATACATTGTATTATTTCAACACAGATTTGTACATATATTTGTGATATATATGTATATACAAAACAATTAACAGTCAATGATTTATATAACTTAGAGTATTAAAAAAAAGAGAGAGGAGAAATTTAGGATGTCAATATTACAAGCATAAAATGTTGAGTACAACATTGAAAAAACAACTGCTGTGACTCACATCAAAGTATTTTTGGTATGATAAAGTATTCAAACTTAAGCTGGTTACTTAATATTAAAGTCTGCATTTATTTATTTAGCTATCTATTTATTTATATTCCACCTTTATTATTTTTATAAATAACTCAAGGCAGTGAATACTCAATACTCATTCCTCTTCCTATTTTCCCCACAACAACAACCTTGCGAGATGGGTTAATCTGAGACAGAATGATTAGCCCATAGTCATTCTGGCAGTTTTCATATTGAAGGTGGGACTAGCACTCACAGTGTCTCCATTGTTATGTTACAATTTATATGTTTGTTTGTTCGTATGTATGTATATCTCTGTGTTTAACATGTTAATGAAAGGAATAAACTGATAAATTAATATTGCAAGAATTAAAATACCAAAAAGTAGGTAAAAATAAAAATAAAAGTATTGAATTTCTGATTTTATATATACATACATACATACATACATACATATAGTCGATAACTAGAAATGAAATATAATTGGATTCTGACATCCTGCCCCCTTAAAAATAAGAGAGAGCCACCTGAAAAGAAAACAAAATAGATATAAAAGTTAGTCTGGCTTGTTAGGATACTCTGTGTGAAACTTCTTTAATAGGTTTGGGGCTCTGACATGACGTTTATGGACCCACTCATTTTGTGAGGCAGGGAGGTGTTTCCAAGCTACTAGGTACTGAGTTGCTCCATGATATCTCCGAGAATCTACGATTTCCTTTATCTCGAAGTGTTGTTCGCCCTCCACCATGATTGGGGGGGGATTTTTGGCTGTAAAGGTGATTGATGCTCTCTTTTCAGCAAACTGCAATGAAAAATTGGGTGTATTTGCCTCAGATTTTTGGGTAATTCTAATTCTACTTACTGGGTTTATGATTCTTTTAATTGGAAAAGATCCTATATATTTTGGTCCAAGTTTTTTACAAGGTTGTAGGGATTTTAGGTATTTTGTAGATAAGTACACCATTTCTCCTATAATGAATGATGTAGGCTCAACCCTTTTTTTATCGGCTTGTGCTTTGTATCCCTGCCTAACTTCATCTAGTGCTTTTCTAACTATTGGCCAGGTGTTTTGTAATTGTTCCATCCATTATTTCAGTGATGGGATCGCCGGTTTGTTTGGGGTTAGTTGTGGCATGGGGTTGAAACTTTGACCAGTAGCTATTTCAAAAGGAGTATAACCTGTGCTGGAGTGGACTGCATTATTGTAGGCAACTTCTGCGAAAGGGAGTAGGTCGATCCAATCAGACTGCTGGAAATTAAGAAAGCATCTTAAGTATTGCTCCAGTACTGAGTGACAACGTTCTGTTTGTCCATCCCCTTGTGAATGATGGCTAGATATCAGTCCCTGAATGGTCCCTAAGAGAGATAAAAATTCCTTCCAAAATGCAGATGAAAATTGCACTCCCTATCAGATATGATGCATTGGGGTGCCTCATGCAATCTGTAAATATGCTGGACAAAAAGTTTCACTAAGGCTTTTGCGGTGGGAATCTTTTGGCAAGGGATAAAGTGCACCTGTTTGGAAAACAAGTCCGTGACCATCCAGATAGCAGTATTCCCATTGCTTTCTGGTAATTCCACTATAAAATCCATGGCTATTTCCCTCCAGGGGGCTGATTAAAGTATCTTTAATCTCTCAAACGCCGCTTGGCACTCCATTGTCCATGTTAGTGGCTGGCTAGGTTTTACTGAGGATGGTCCTTTCATTTTTAGTAAGTTCGTGAGGGGCAGGGCTTTCTGGGCAAATGAGGGGATGAATTGGCGATAAAAGTTTGCGAAGCCCAGGAAACTTTGCAATTGCTTTCTTGTGCGAGGTGGTGCCCATTCTAATACTGCTCTGACCTTCTCTGGGTCCATTTCAATGCCCTGTGGGGATATGCGATAACCTAGGTAGTCTATCCTTTCCTGGTGGAATTCGCATTTCGAGAGTTTGGCATATAGGTGAGCTGCTCGCAGTTTCTTTAAAACCACTCTGACTAGGTTGACATTTTCCTCTTTTGATTCGGTGAAGATAAGAATGTCGTCTAAGTAAACCTTAAATAGGTGCTCCCTTAGAATGTCATCAATGACGTTCTAAGTCTCCAAATGGCAAGACTTTGAATTGGTAGCACCCCATTGGGCAGTTAAATGCGGTCTTCCATTTATCTCCTTCCTTAATTCTCATGCAATAGTAAGCTTCCCTTAGGTCTAGTTTAGTAAAAAATTTCCCTTTCGAGAGGTGTGACAACATGTCCTTCATGAGTGGCAGGGGGTATAGGTTGCTTTCACTGATTGTATTCAGGGACCTATAATCCATGCATAAGCGTAAAGAGCTGTCCTTCTTCTCTCTAAGGAGGATCAGGGTGGCCACTTTAGGCTTGGCTGGCTCAATGAACCCCCTTTCTAGGTTTTTCTTTATGAATCTTTCCATTTCCTCCTTTGGGCTCATGGAGTATAATCTGGGCTTTGGGAGTTTTGCCCCAGGCTTGAATTCTATGGCACATTCCGTGGGTTGGTAGGGGGGAGCTCATCCGCCCTCTCCTCACTGAAAACTTCAGCAAGATCTCTGTATTCCTCTGGTATTTCTGGTAGTCCATTTTCCTCTTCCATGGCAGCTTTTTCTGTTCTTCGTAGCTCCCCTTCGGATTTTAAGTCCATAGGGTCCCCTTTCGGGAAATTGATTTCTGCTGTCCTCCAATTCACCCAGGGGTTCCATTTTTTTACCATTCCATCCATAGGATCATCGGGCATTCCATGTCTTGGGTCACTACAAACATTATGTCTTCCTCATATTTGCCCAAGGAAAGTGTATTGGTAGGCCATGCCCACCCCAGCTCCACAAAGGCAAAAAATTTCATGATACATCACAATACGTCACGTGATGCAATCGAGTTTGACACCCGTGAGTTAGATCATCAAGGATATTAATCTTAAATTCAATGATTGTGCCATGATGTAATAGCACCATTAGCCTGAGAAGGTATCAGATTATAGTTCTAGTACTTAATTTGGGAGGGGGGGGGAGATTTAGGGAATTATTAAATTATTAGTGAAGAAGGGAGCAAAGTCACAAGGCAACCGTGTCATGTAGAACTGTTTTTTTTTGTCTTTTACATGTTGCTAAAATTTCACCCAATATATCAGAAACAATGGGAACAGATGGTTTATCTGAATGGCAGATTAACATGCTATTGCAGCAATAAATTTCAAAAGAGGCCTGCCTGCTGATACAAAGAAATGAATTTTACTGTAGAAATAAATACAAGCTCATATCTATTAGAAAGTCCCAGAATTTAACAAACCTTTGGACATATATTAACAGATGTTTGAAACTCTGACTATAGCTGACTGAAGATTTACGGAGTTTAAATTCAGCCTAAATGAACATTTTTAGAAGTAGGTAATAATTATATTCTTTATATTTTTCTCAGCTGAAAATATAAGCATTCCTGCCTTATATGATTTTTCAAAGCAATCTCCTCAACCTAGAAGTATTTTGAGGAAAAGTAGCCATGTGGAAGACTATGAAGGAACCAAGGCAGAGGGAAGAATACCTAATCATCATCGACTGTTTTCGTTATCTGCACCATCTTCTGAAACAAGATTAAACAATCAAGTGATGAAATCTGAAAAAAGAGCACTTTCTGAAAGTCCTGGTGCTGAGGTTAGCAGAGTATAACATATATGGTACAAAATATCCAATAAAATTTACTGTAAGAATCTCATCCAGATTTTAAGATGACTTGATTCAGATTTTAAGCTAACTGACCAACTTAATGATAAATATACTTAATGTAATTATTATTGGTTGTGTTCTGTGCATTTCACTCGTCTTTTTCTTTTGCCCATTTAGTGTGCATATATGAATGTGTCTATTTGTGTTGCATTTGCATATATATTTTAAAATAACACAAGACTCTTTATTTACATTCTAGGGCCCCTTAATTGCAAACTCCTCATCCTCAATCCCTATCCAGTTGTCATCAGTAAATGAGAAAACTGGAGATTCTAATTTGGCAGTATCTGGAAATAAAACCTCCTCTAAAGGTAAAGTATATGAAGCTATAATACTTTAAAATGTTATTTATAATTTATAGGATGTTTTAGTTATTTGTTTATTTAAAAGATTGGTATGGCTGCCCATCATACAGCATACAGTAATTCTGGGTGATTTGCAACTTCAATAAAACCACAAACACAACAAAAACAATAAAACAAAATTAAAAGCCAGCATCTCACTCATCTTCATGAGATGCTCCAATGAACTATCTATAGACTGTCATCTTCCAATACCACTTACGTCTAAATCACTATTAGGAATCTAGTGCAATTTTCCTTGAAGTAATTTCTGGCCTAAATTTTTCAAAAGGAGAGTAGAGAATTAAGCTCCTGTACTTTGGGTGTGTGTTTTCTTGTTTTTAATCTAAGTTTCATAATATAAACAAATTGTGTGTGTGTGTGTGTGTATATACAGGTGAAACTCGAAAAATTAGAATATCGTGCAAAAGTTCATTTATTTCAGTAATGCAACTTAAAAGGTGAAACTAATATATGAGACAGACTCATTACATGCAAAGCAAGATAGTTCAAGCTGTGATGTGTCATAATTGAGATGCTTATGGCTTACAGCTCATGAAAACCCCAAATCCACAATCTCAGAAAATTAGAATATTGTGAAAAAGTTCAATATTCTAGGCTCAAAGTGTCCCACTCTAATCAGCTAATTAAGCCATAACACCTGCAAAAGGTTCCTGAGCTTTTAGATGGTCTCTCGGTCAGGTTCAGTAGGAATCACAATCATGGGAAAGACTGCTGACCTGACATTTGTGCAGAAAACCATTATTGGCACCCTCCATAAGGAGGGAAAGCCTCAAAAGGTAATTGCAAACAAAGTTGGATGTTCCCAAAGTGCTGTATCAAAGCACATTAATAGAAAGTTATGTGGAAGGGAAAAGTGTGCAAGAAAAAGGTGCACAAGCAGCAGGGATGACCGAAGCCTGGAAAGGATTGTCAGGAAAAGGCCATTCAAAAGTGTTGGGGACTTTCACATGGAGTGGACTGAGGCTGGAGTCAGTGCATCAAGAGCCACCACACAGAGACGGATCCTGGACATGGGCTTCAAATGTCATATTCCTCTTGTCAAGCCATTCCTGAACAACAAACAACGTCAGAAGCGTCTTACCTGGGCTAAAGAAAAACAGAACTGGTCTGTTGCTCAGTGGTCCAAAGTCCTTTTTTCTGATGAGAGCAACTTTTGCATCTCATTTGGAAACCAAGGATCCAGAGTCTGGAGGAAGAAAGGAGAGGCACACACTGCCAAAAGCACCAAAACCTGGTTCAATGACCGTGGGATTACTGTGCTTGATTGGCCAGCAAACTCGCCTGACCTGAACCCCATAGAGAATCTATGGGGCATTGCCAAGAGAAACAAGAGAGACATGAGACCGAACAATGCAGAAGAGCTGAAGGCTGCTATTGAAGCATCCTGGTCTTCCATAACACCTCAGCAGTGCCACAGGCTGATAGCTTCCATGCCACACTGCATTGAGGCAGTAATTGCTGCAAAAGGGGCCCAAACCAAGTACTGACTACATATGCATGCTTATACTTTTCAAAGGTCCGATATTGTTCTATGTACAATCCTCGTTTTATTGATTGCTTGTAATATTCTAATTTTCTGAGATTGTGGATTTGGGGTGTAAGGACCCACCCCACTTTGCATCTTAAGAACACAGAACTCTTGGAATAATTCCTCCAACAGGCATCCTTTATTAAGAGAAAATGGTTGCAGGCGTTCTAGACAGGACTTGGGGTCCAAGCTCTCCCATTCAAGGTTTCAAGGGGTTCCCCAGTAGCCCCACCCAATCACCCCCTTCTTCTAGCAACAGTCTCAGGCATTACAATCCCACCCCCTTTTCCTTACTGCCGGCTGGATGGAGACTTCAGAGAGAACTACATGAAGGTAATAGCCCCATTCTTATGGTTAGTCCTTTTGGCGATATCCACATTCAGTCTCTTTGAAGTGTACTGAAGGAAGTGAGGGCCATAAAGCCCCTTTGTTCACCCCCTTCCCTCCACCATATGGCAGAATCCAGGGAAGGCAGAAATGGGGTTTTCTATAGTTGATAACTAGAGATGAAATATAATTGGATTCTGACATCCTGCCCCCTTAAAAAAAAGACAGATCCACCTGAAAGAAAACAAAACAGGTATAAAAGTTAGTCAGGCTTGTTAGGATACTCTGTGTGAAACTTCTTTAATAGCTTCGGGGCTCTGACATGACGTTTATGGACCCACTCGTTTTGTGAGGAAGGGAGGTGTTTCCAGGCAACTAGGTACTGAGTCGCTCCATGATCTCTCCTAGAGTCAAGGATTTCCTTTATTTCAAAATGTTGTTCGCCCTCCACCATGATTGGAGGTGGGGGGGGGATTTTTGGCCGTAAAGGTGACTGATGCTCTCTTTTCAGCAAGCTGCAATGAAAAATTGGGTGTATTTGCCTGAGATTTTTGGGTAATTCTAATTCTACTGTTACTGGGTTTATGATTCTTTTAATTGGAAAAGGCCCTATATATTTTGGTCCAAGTTTTTTACAGGGCTGTAGGGACTTTAGGTATTTTGTAGATAAGTACACCATTTCTCCTATAATGAATGGTGTAGGCTCAACCCTTTTTTTATCGGCTTGTGCTTTGTATGCCTGCCTAGCTTCATCTAGTGCTTTTCTGACTATTGGCCAGGTGTTTTGTAATTGTTCCATCCATTCTTTCAGTGATGGGATCGCCGGTTCCTGTGGGGTTAATTCTGGCATGGGGTTGAAACTTTGACCGGTGGCTATTTGAAAAGGAGTGTAACCTGTGCTGGAGTGGACTGCATTATTGTAAGCAACTTCTGCGAAAGGGAGTAGGTCCGTCCAATTTGTTTGCTGAAAATTAATAAAACATCTTAAATATTGCTCAAGTACTGAATGACAACGTTTTGTTTGTCCATCCCCTTGTGGATGATGGCTAGATGTCAGTCCCTGAGTGGTCCCTAAGAGGGATAAAAATTCCTTTCAAAATACAGACGTAAATTGCACTCCCCTATCAGAGATGATGCGTTGGGGTGCCCCCTGCAATCTGTAAATGTGCTGGACGAAAAGTTTTGCTAAGGCTTTTGCAGTGGGAATCTTTTGGCAAGGGATAAAGTGCACCTGTTTGGAAAACAAGTCCGTGACTGTCCAGACAACAGTATTCCCATTGCTTTCTGGCAATTCCACTATAAAATCCCTGGCTATTTCACTCCAGGGGGCTGAGAGTTCTCTTCATCAGGTCAATAGCTTTCTCTAGGATCCAGTATGAGTACAGTGCCCAGCTTTCTCCCTCTTCACTTGCGTGCAGGGATTTCTCCATCTCCTGCTTCCATTCTGGTTGCTTGGCCCCCCCGTCTCAGGGTCACCTTTCTTGATTCCTTTCCCCACTCACTTTTCTTTCCAACACCCATTGACCAGCGAGGCTTGTGGTCCCGTGTCACCACCACTTCTTCTCCTGAGGAATCTGACCTCTCGGATCCCAACATCCGGCAATGTTCCAGTTGGGGTAGCGGCTCTCTTTCCAGGGAGTTTTCCCCCTTTCTTGCTCCATTGTCTGACATGGTATTTTTTTGCAAAATCCCCCGGCAAGGGTCTCCCTTCCAGGTGGATTAATTTTGCAAGTCCTGTCTAATGTAAGGGCCCACCCCACTTTGCATCTTAAGAAGACAGAACTCTTGGAATAATTCTTCCAACAGGCATCCTTTATTAAGAGAAAATGGTTGCAGGCGTTCTAGACAGGACTTGGGGTCCAAGCTCTCCCAATCAAGGTTTGAAGGGGTTCCCCAGTAGCCCCACCCAATCACCCCCTTCTTCCAGCGACAGTCTCAGGCATTACACGCCCACGCCCTTTTCCTTACTGCTGGCTGGATGGAGACTTCAGAGAGAACTACATGAAAGGTAATAGCCCCATTCTTATGGTTAGTCCTTTTGGCGATATCCACATTCAGTCTCTTTGAAGTGTACTAAAGGAAGTGAGGGCCATAAAGCCCCTTTGTTCACCCCCTTCCCTCCACCATATGGCAGAATCCAGGGAAGGCAGAAATGGGGTTTTCTATAGTTGATAACTAGAGATGAAATATAATTGGATTCTGATATCCTGCCCCCCTAAAAAAAAGACAGATCCACCTGAAAGAAAACAAAACAGGTATAAAAGTTAGTCAGGCTTGTTAGGGTACTCTGTGTGAAACTTCTTTAATAGCTTCGGGGCTCTGACATGACGTTCATGGACCCACTCGTTTTGTGAGGCAGGGAGGTGTTTCCAGGCAACTAGGTACTGAGTCGCTTCATGATATCGCCTAGAGTCAAGGATTTTCTTTATTTCAAAACGTTGTTCGCCCTCCACCATGATTGGAGGTGGTGGTGGGGGGGATTTTTTGCCGTAAAGGTGACTGATGCTCGCTTTTCAGCAAGCTGCAATGAAAAATTGGGTGTATTTGCCTGAGATTTTTGGATAATTCTAATTCTACTGTTACTGGGTTTATGATTCTTTTAATTGGAAAAGGCCCTATATATTTTGGTCCAAGTTTTTTACAAGGCTGTAGGGACTTTAGTTATTTTGTAGATAAGTACACCATTTCTCCTATAATGAATGGTGTAGGCTCAACCCCTTTTTTATCGGCTTGTGCTTTGTATCCCTGCCTAGCTTCATCTAGTGCTTTTCTAACTATTGGCCAGGTGTTTTGTAATTGTTCCATCCATTCTTTCAGTGATGGGATCGCCGGTTCCTGTGGGGTTAATTCTGGCATGGGGTTGAAACTTTGACCGGTGGCTATTTGAAAAGGAGTGTAACCTGTGCTGGAGTGGACTGCATTATTGCAAGCAACTTCTGGGAAAGGGAGTAGGTCCGTCCAATTTGTTTGCTGAAAATTAATAAAACATCTTAAATATTGCTCAAGTACTGAATGACAACGTTTTGTTTGTCCATCCCCTTGTGGATGATGGCTAGATGTCAGTCCCTGAGTGGTCCCTAAGAGGGATAAA